TGAAGTTTTCAGCTCTTGTTTTGAAACATGAGACTTCTTATGTCGCGTTTTGGAATCATATTTTTAAATAAATAATTATATTTATGCTCTACTTTTGTATCGAGCACTATTTTTTAAAAATAATAACTAAAATACTAAGGGACTTTGGATTATTTACCTAACCAGTTCCTTCCTATTTTCTATATATTTTCACACACACACACATATATATATATATATATATATATATATATATATATATATATATATAAATATATATATATATATATATAAATTAGACAACAAGAATTTGTTTAAACATTGCTATATATGTGTACGTGTAACATATACTGAAACAGCAATATATATATATATATATTATTTAAAAATTATAACATAAATATTTAAGTTATAATTTTTAAATAAATAATTATATTTGCTCTACTCTGTATTGTGCACTCTTTTAAGAATAGTAATTGTTGGTTATTGGAATTTATTCCGTATACACCAAACCTATACTTGTATGTGTGTATATATATATATATATATATATATAAATAGCTGGCCACTCGTATTCAAGGATACCTGCCTACTGGGGTAGCTAGCCAATCCCTATTGCAGATGCTTGCACAGGCACATTTTGTGTTTGCTCAATACCCACAGAGCCCACCTGTGGCTTATATTGCAACTATGCTGAGCAGACCTTAGTTACAGTTTCTGGGAGAGAGTGTGTTATCAAGCATGATCAACAACTTGAACAAGGCCAGCGCGCTCAAGCCCTCGGCCACGATGACTTGTAACTTTGTGCTAGCACACTATCGACAGACCCCAAGAGTTCCATCTACCCAATTTCCCTCACAAAGCTTGGGTCAACCCGTTATATATATATATATATATATATATACATACACACACACACACACACATACATACATATAGTTATATTAGTAAGTAATTACTTTAAATATGTAAAAAAATTACACAACATATTTTTTAAACATATTCTTTTTCCTTGTCACAGCACACTTGGCCCAACAATCTTCCATAGTTTACATAAATCGAACATTATACAGTGAATATTTCAGATCGATATTCAGCTAATTAGAGTAGTGATACCAGTATACTGATTCATGCTCATTCACTCCGCAGCCCACACATATATGTACACACATGCACACATATACAAAGATACTTGTGCATATATATATATATATATATATATATATATATATATATATAGATAGATAGATATTCTTCAGCAGTAGCATGACTCAGAGTTTCATACACAATGCAATCTTCAGGTGCTGAGTAAAGACTGACTGTTACATAATTTAATTTTAATAAAAAGATCTGGTTAACAACATGATGTAGCAGTCCATATATTATTCTGGGATTGCTGACTTAAAAAAAGTTGTAATTAAAATAGACAGGATTTATATTTAAAATAAATGGGCATCATGTAACAGACAGTTGCTTCTCAGCATCTGAAGATTGCGTTGTACATGAAACTGCAAGTCATGCTACTGGCATGGAATAATATGTATATTTATTAATATATACTTAATAGCTCAGTTATATTACATTGAGCACTATTTTAGTAACACCAGCATTCAATGTGCAATATCTTATATTCATATATGTATATATATTTATTTGTGTGTGTGGAATATTATATAATTATATATTAATCTGGTTGTATATGGACAGACAACTTATGGCTGCTGGAGTGATAAATGGAGAATGACAGAAACCCAAAACATAGCTCAATGTTGGAAGGACTCTGGAAGCCATAAATATTAAAACATTCTGAGGCAACACACAAAAACCAAAGTTTGTGTGTACAACCATTTTATATATGTATTAATCAAAACCTTATTGACTTTTTAGGTATAATGCACATGCATGTTTCTCTCTACAATGAAGAATTTTACAGCTTCTCTTCTTCGTTTCCATCAGGCCTTGCAGGTTTCGAATCCAGTTGGACATTAACCCCCGCCCAATGTTTGTCAGTCCAGTTCACCTGAGCAAAGTTGATTAATGATCGAAGTCACAGGTAATGAGAACAACATCGAACATAACAGAGATGTGTCAACACTGAGAGTAAAAGCAAAGAAAGTAGATGCTCAGATGGTGACAAAAAGATGAAAAAGGCGTTATTTCTGGATTGAGGCAATTTCTGGCAAGACTGATGATAGAATCGATGACAAAAGAGGTAGATTGACAGAGAGAACATAGAACTGATTAAGAGACAATTTGATAAAAACTGAGATAAGTTTTGAACTGGTGAGCTATTTACGCTGTGGTTAGCAATTTAATCTCATCGACCATTAGTCTGGTAGTGATTAAAGTCCTCAGTTGAATCACGTAGAACTATTAGACATAGTAATAAAGGAACAAACAGCTATAGAAAATCAACCATCTGCATAACAGATAATGGAAAATGTGATGCAGAAATCCAAGGACACATAAGAACATTGAAATATGCCTTCCAGAAACTAAGCAAATTATTAAAAAGCTAGAAATACCTGTGAAAATTTCATGCTTTTTCTATTTTAATATTTTGATGAATCATAATTCTTATAAGATGGAATAAGCTTATAGCAAGTTCTACGACAATAAAATATCCATAGAATTTCCCTGGTCATATTGTTATATATTTGAGCTTAACAACTTACACAAAATATTGCAATAACAATCATAAATAGAAATACCTCTACTTTTTGCTGAAAAAAAGAGCATGCCATGGTGAAAAAAGACCCCAAACTTAATAAAAACGAAATTTTATTGTCAAAATGTTTATGTTATTATTAAGAGGAAAGACCAAAGTATTTTCTATCATTTTATTAAATTTTTTAATCCTTTCTAGCATGTTCAAAATTTCGATTGAATTTTTTTTTTTGCATTAATGGATGTAATATTTGCCATTAGTGTTTTAGCACCTTTTTTAAGGTGAAAAACACATTGATTTAGAAATTCTTGCAAAAATCAAATAATTGTCAAATGAAACTTTCAGGACTTATTCACATATTTTAAAATTGGATCTATTTATGCATGTTCGACTATGTTTGGTGGTGGGAGTGAGAATTTCCTTGTGCTTGTTCGGGATGACACTCTCATACACATAGACGCACATACATACAGGTGTATACATCTTAGCTCACACAAATGTACCCATATAAACAATCTGAGATCAGACACAGATACACATCCATGCACTTGGGCATACATACATACATACGCAATTTTAATTCTATTTCAGTGTCAGGACCGTGGCTTTTTATGTGTAGTAATGTTCCTTTCAACAAGGAGTGGTTAGGGGTGTTCTTTCAGATCTACCGCCTGCATTGTCAGACAAACATACACATCCTCATACATACATGTAGATGCGTACATACACTATTGGTCTGGGCCTTTTGTTTGTGGGATTGATGATAATGATGTTTGTATTTTTAACACTGACTGCTTGTGTGTTATTGACGATTGTGATTATACTGAGAGTGAGGAATACTGTGATATTAATTATTATTATTATTGATGCATTAAATAAATATGTTAGCTCTATCACTGATATTGAGTGCTTTCCACTAAGTACTGCACATATGAAATTATATATATATATATATATATTAGAGAGAAAGAGAAACAGAACTGATATAAGCAGACATAGACAGAAACATAGATGTATTCTAAAAATACAAGCATAATTTTGAGTCATCTTTAAGAGAAATCTCGAGTGAAATCATCAAGATTTTATGAGCAGAAAATGCAATAAGCAACTGAATATTCACACTAAAGTCTTTTATTAGTCAAACTCTGTGTGGGTGCGGGTATGTCTATTGATGTGACGAAGGCCCTTTGTGTGCAAGTTTATTGTACATTGTATCAATTATCATCAGCAGCCCATTTATCGTCCAGCGAAACCCAATATAACAGGATTCCATAAAATCTAACAATGTTACTCCGGACATTGAACACTGCACAAGAGCTTGTGAGGTTAAGAGTTCAATTCTTGTCGCCTCCTGCATGGATTAGAAGCAGATATTTATATGTTTGGATAGAATAATTAAAATTATCGACATCTTTGTAGGTTGTCAATATCTGATCAGCAGGAATTAATTGCATTTATTTCAACATTTATTCATATCATCTTCCCAAAAATAATAACAAAAATAACTTAAGAGCATATTATGAAAAAAGAAAAAAAGCATATTATTAAGATTATTGAAAAAGAGAATATTATTAAAATTATGAATGAAAAAAAAAAAGAACATTATTAAAATTATGAATAAAAAAAGAAAATATCATTTAAATTATGAAAAAACAACATATTAAGATTATAAAAAAAAAGAAGAAATTTATGAAAATTATGGAAAGAAAAAATATACATGATAGACAAAAACATTATTAGTATTATTTCTTCATAGTCTTGATGTAATTATGATTTCTAGAAGTTGGGATTTTTTTTGTTTCTGAGAGCAGCCTGCTAGCTCGATTTCCAAAATGGATACCTTACAGGCCTACAGGCACTGCAACTACCCTTGGCTGGTCAGAATGGGAAAGAGGTGCCATGCCTTTTTCAAGACTATTAGTGCAAAGGGCATATAAACTGTCTCAGTCAAAGTTTGAACACGGTTTGCCAATTTCATTCTACATTAGGCCACTGGTATCACCCCAAAAGTAAAAGATTAGAAAAAAAACAAACAAAATTATTATGAAATCAATATATGTCTATTCTTATTAGAAGTGTCATCTGTTTCATGCCTATTTACTGAGCGACAAGAGATAAAGACGTTTCCGGGTTTATTTAGCAAGTCCATCCCATTACTGATTCAACCATAGCAAGCAATAAAATCTGAGCAACATGATCTAAAAAACGACATTATCTACAATTTATTGATGCCAGTGATTTTGTTTTTATCTTCGCCAAGAAATAATTTAATAAAATGAAATCACTCATTTTGTAACTTAGTCAGAGGGATTTCCGTTGTTTCTTTAAACAGTTCTTTGACATTACTGATTGGTTATCGATAGAAAGTTACAGTGCTGTACATTGAGACATGGGAGAGAAACAAAGATGACATATGAGGCTTAGTTGCATTTGTATAGAAGGATTCTGATTTAAAATTGTTTAAATACAATGGTTCATATATCTGGTACAAGTGAAATAGTGGCAGGAAAAAGGAACAAAAGGAGATGGAGAATATAATAACAGAGAGATACATGTAAAGACAAGTGCAAAGTGTTAGAGAGGAAGAGACAAAGGACAAAGAGATGGAGAGGAAAAGACAAGGGGTGTGGAGATGGAGAAGAAAAGACAAAGAGATGGAGAAGAAAAGACAAAGAGATGGAGAGGAAAAAAGATGGTGAGGAAAAAAAAAGAGATGGAGAGGAAAAGAAAAAGGGTAAGGGGATGGAGAAGAAAAACAAAAAGATAGAGAGGAAAAGACAGGAGAGATGGAGAGGGAAAGACAGGAGAGATGGAGAGGAAAAGACAGGAGAGATGGAGAGGAAAAGACAGGAGAGATGGAGAGGAAAAGACAGGGAGATGGAAAAAGACAGGAGAGATGGAGAGGGAAAGACAGGAGAGATGGAGAGGGAAAGACAGGAGAGATGGAGATGGAAAGAGAAATAGATAGAGGGGAAAAGACAAAGAGATGTAGAGATCGAGAAGAAAAGATAAAGTGAAAAGTGCTGGAGAGGAAAAGACAATGAGCAAAATACAAGGAAAAAAAATGATGGAGATAAAACATGAAAGAGAGAAGAGAGAACAAAGTGAGAGAGGACAGAAAGAAAAAACTAATGCCAAAGTGAAATAGATGAAAAGATGGAGAGAGAAAGAGAGACATTAATAACAATGTGCAACAAGAAAAAGAGAGAGATGAAGAAAAAATGCAAAGTGAAAAAGTAAACAGTAAAGAGAGATAGACAGTAAAGAAATGACTAACAGCAAAGAGAAACAGATTAAAAGCTGAATAGGGAAAGAGAGCAAGACAAAAATGACAGAATGCAAAGAGAGAAAGAGAAGTGGGTCAAAGAAAAATGCAAAAAAAGTAGAAATGGTAAAGAATAGAGAGAGGGGAAAGAAAGGAGAAATGGTAAAGAATAGAGAGAGGGGAAAGAAAGGAGAAATGGTAAAGAATAGAGAGAGGGGAAAGAAAGGAGAAATGGAAAAGAATAGAAAAAGGGGAAAAAGGAGAAATGGTAAAGAATAGAGAGAGGAGCAGAAAGGAGAAATGGTAAAGAATAGAAAAAGGGGAAAAAGGAGAAATGGTAAAGAATAGAGAGAGGGGAAAAAGGAGAAATGGTAAAGAATAGAGAGAGGGGAAGAAAGGAGAAATGGTAAAGAATAGAGAGAGGGGAAGAAAGGAGAAATGGCAAAGCAAAAGAGAGTAAAAGACAGTGGAATGAGTGAGAGAGAGAAACAAAAATGACAGAGTTTGGAAAGAAAAAGAGAGAGAAAGATGAAGACAGAATTGAAAATAAGGAATATTTAAAATGAACAATAGGGAAACAGTTAAGACAAAGAGCAAAACCGATAGAAGATAATGTGAAAGACCAAAGGGTGGAGGGTAAAAAAAGAGAGAGATTTGTCACAGAAAGAAAGAAAATGGTTTGTAGAGAATATGACAGGGAGCAAGCTAATCTAGCAATATTTGGTGAGTCTATGTCATTCTATCTTATCGGTGCAACAAAGGTTCAGACTTTGAGCCCTATTTTAAAATGTTTAAATTTAAGAAATTTTGGTAGAAAAGTTAAATAATATTCTTAATAAATGACTTTTTCATTAATTTCATAGTTTAAAAATGTTACATTTGCTTCTAATTTGTTTCCATGTTTTAATAATAAACTAAACTAAAATTTAACATGTTTTTATTTAAATACCTTTTAGAAAGAACAAATTATTCATAGAAAAATTAAATTTTTCATCACCATATTTGTTGTTATGAATAACAATATTATAGAGAAAAATATTAAATTACCTTTATGTGACAATATGGTATTTTTAAATAAAATTTGCAGTGTAAAAGCAGAATTGAGAAAAATGTGTTCAGAAAAAGAGTCTCTCTATATTTCCGAGACGAAGTATTGTAATTATTTACACTATTTACATTGTTCAGACTGTTTTACACTCTAGCCTTCTTCAGGATATGGAATTTCAAACTGAAGAAAAACTTGGAAAGTTGTGTTAAAGGGAGATAACTGATATTGAGACATCTGGGAGAGGCATGTCAAGTGGAACTAGAACAAACTACCCTGGTGGATAAAATAAAGGGTTCAGTCTGAAATTCTATTTGGCTTTGTGCTGGAAAAATTTAACTAAAATTAGATATGACTAATGAAAAAAGACAATGAACAGAGAGAGAGAGAGAATGAGACAATGGACAAAGAAAGAGAAAGGAAAAGACAAAAAAAAAAAAGGTAGGAAAAGTATATATATATATATATATATATATATATATATATATATGAGAGAGAAAAAGGTGAATTAAGAGTTACAATGTGGAATGAGAAAGAGAAAATAAAAAAGAAAAGAGAACAAATAGAGAGGGAAAGGGAGTGAAAAGTTGAAGGGATAAAGAGCAGAGAGAGTGAGAGAAAAAAAGACAAAATGAGAGAGAAAAACAGAGTGGGAACAAGAGGAAAAACAAAGAGGAAAGACATGGACAGCTGGAATGAGATGAAAACATAGGGTAGGAGAGAGAGAGAAAACAAGAGAAAATGACAAAGGACAAAAAGAGATAGAGAGGTAGAAACTGAAAAAGACAAAATATGGAGAGAGAGAGAAAACAAGAGAAAATGACAAAGGACAAAAGAGATGAGAGGTAGAAACTGAAAAGACAAAATATGGAGAGAGAGAAAAAGAGAAAATGACAAAGGACAAAAAGAGATAGAGAGGTAGAAACTGAAAAAGACAAAATATGGAGAGAGAGAGAAAACAAGAAAAATGACAAAGGACAAAAGAGAGATAGAGAGGTAGAAACTGAAAAAGACAAAATATGGAGAGAGAGAGAAAACAAGAGAAAATGACAAAGGACAAAAAGAGATAGAGAGGTAGAAACTGAAAAAGACAAAATATGGAGAGAGAGAGAAAACAAGAGAAAATGACAAAGGACAAAAAGAGATAGAGAGGTAGAAACTGAAAAAGACAAAATATGGAGAGAGAGAGAAACAAGAGAAAATGAGGACAAAAGAGAAGAGGTAGAAACTGAAAAGACAAAATATGGAGAGAGAGAGAAACAAAAGAAAATGACAAAGGACAAAAGAGATAGAGAGGTAGAAACTGAAAAAAGACAAAATATGGAGAGAGAGAAAACAAGAGAAAATGACAAAGGACAAAAAGAGATAGAGAGGTAGAAACTGAAAAAAGACAAAATATGGAGAGAGAGAGAAAACAAGAAAATGACAAAGGACAAAAAGAGATAGAGAGGTAGAAACTGAAAAAGACAAAATATGGAGAGAGAGAGAAAACAAGAGAAAATGACAAAGGACAAAAAGAGATAGAGAGGTAGAAACTGAAAAAGACAAAATATGGAGAGAGAGAGAAAACAAGAGAAAATGACAAAGGACAAAAGAGATAGAGAGGTGACAACTGAAAAAGAAGGAGAGAGAGAAAACAAGAGAAAATGACAAAGGACAAAAAGAGATAGAGAGGTAGAAACTGAAAAAGACAAAATATGGAGAGAGAGAAAAACAAGAAAATGAAAAGGACAAAAAGGACAAAAAAACTGAAAAAGATAGAGAGAGAGAAAAAATGACTAGAAAAAACTGACAAAATATGGAGAGAGAGAGAAAACAAGAGAAAATGACAAAGGACAAAAAGAGATAGAGAGGTAGAAACTGAAAAGAAAAAATATGGAGAGAGAGAGAAAACAAAAGAAAATGACAAAGGAAAAAAAGAGATAGAGAGGTAGAAACTGAAAAGACAAAATATGGAGAAAGAAAACAAGAGAAAAATGACAAAGGAAAAAAGAGATAGAGAGGGTAGAAACTGAAAAGACAAAATATGGAAAGAAAAACAAGAAAAACAAAGGACAAAAAAAGAAGAGAGGTAGAAACTGAAAAAGACAAAATGAGAGAGAGAGAAAAATGGCAAATACAAAGTGCAAAGGAAAGACAAAATGCAGAGAAAGATTGAAAAGGGTAAAGAAAGAAGAAAAAAATGAAAGGAGTAAAAGGGAAAGAAGAAAAAAATGAAGTTACAGCAGACACACAAAGAGAAAAAGAGAAAGAAAAAGAGAAAGAACATGAAAGAAGAAAAGTGCAAAGCAGAGAAAAAGGATACAGAGGGAGCAAAAGAGACAAAAGCTAAGGCAAGACAGAAAAAAAGAAGGAAAATCTTAAAAAGAATGGAGAATAACAATAAAAGGCAGAGAAAGAGAGATATAAAGAAAAGTAAATTGGAGAGAGAGAGAGAGAGTGTGAGAGACAAAGAGAGAGAAACATGCAAAACATTAATGTGAGTAAAAAAATAAATAAGATAAAAGTTAGGACAAAAAAAACAATATAAAAAATGGAAATAAAAGAAATGAAGGAGAAATTAAGAAAGAAAAAAGAAAAGAAATAGAGACCCCCAAAAAAGTGAAAGTGATGTAGAAGTTTCCTGACCCTTCCCCCCCCACTCGCCCACCCAGAAAATGTATATCTTTCTCCAATATATTTATTGACTTTCTGACCCAGCTGTATTTCTTCAATGATTTACTTATTTTACTTATTCCACCTACTCTGCTCTCAACGAGCCCTCATTTTTTTTTTTTTTTTTTTGATAGGCTACAACCATGCATGAGAGGAAAAAAAGTGCTTGACATGGAGTGGGGGCTTCCGGACATTTTTATGAGTCAATGGCGGAACAAATCGTATAAAGCAGACGACCCAAAGACCGGGAACCCAATTTTTTTCAATGTCACGGTTCACTGCCAAAACCCTGAACAAGAAATGGCGTTAAGTACTCTAAAGTGGGACTCGCAAGAAATTATGATTTTTAATTTCTTCAGCTTGCAAAGTGCAAATGGTAATTGGTGAATGCTAGGAGCAGAGAAGGGAAAATCGCTCACCATGTTCGATAAGATCGGATGAAAGTTTTTTTTTTTATTTTTCAGTTAATTTGATGTAAGACTTTTTTTTTCTTTGTTCCATGGCAATTGTGTCCATATAAACTCAGAATTATATCGCAAAAGAAAGATGAACTGCATGTACAGAAAAACATCTTGGCACAGGAGTTCACTTTCAGCCGGAAGTAGAATAAAGTGTTCTCCCCATTTTAGATGAGAGTAGGCACGCCCAATCCCAGGGATTGCAACTCTGTGGCAGCATCTTCCTCATTGTACTAAGAGAAGACAGGTTGATATTATATCGATGACAGCATGACCAGTGATAGCGAGGATTGGGCAATTTTTGTCATTCACCAATATGCATGTGCTCCTCATGTAAAACTGATTTTGTGTCACATCCTGCTTTGCGGAGGGCGGGGGGAGACTGAGTAGATATATATGAAAGAATGTGCTTTTTATCTAATTCAGTTTTATTTTATACCAAGCTTGATTCATTCAAGAACAGATATACAACTATAGGCCACCGAGTTAAGATTGGTCACATAAAAGTAGTAACATCTGTCAGATTATCTTACTAGCTATGAATGACTACATAACGAAGAATCTACAAAGTGGTCCGAAAGTCTTGTCACCTCATTACCATAAAGTAGTGAGAACAATACAACAACTAATACAGTAATACAAAGCATGTGTACTGGATTCATTTTATTCACTTTCATTGACACTGCCACACATCAAAAAGGTCTGTATGAACACCATCATTTTTGTGGCACAAAATGATGTGGCGCCACCATGTTCTGTGTGATATTTTATGAAGCCGTGCTTTGTTGATTGTTGCAAAGGCTCTCCAAATGGTGTCCTTCAACTGATGAGTATTCTGGTATCGTTCATGTGAAACTCTCTACTTGATAATTGAAAGAGAGAGTTGAAACAGAAAATATCATGCAGGGCTAACAAGACTTTTGGACCACCTCATACTTTGTCTTACATACAACTAGGCCCCCCTCTAAGAGTATTTTGAGTGGGTGTAAATCAAGAGGGGGGGATTTAAATACTAAAATCAGTTCCTATCATTTTCACCGGGGATCACAAATGATTTTCTAGGGAAGACAGATCCCCTTCCACCAAACACTAGATATCACAAATTTTTTTTTTTTTTCAAACTTCCTGATAGAAAATTTGGAATCCAGGACAATAACCCAGCCTCCTATCCCAAAAGTAGATGAAATCCCAGACTCATAAATAAAAGTCTTATACATAAAAAAGAAAGAAATTTAAAATGTTAAAATTTAACATTAAAATTTCAATTAAAAGCTTCTTGAATTTTCAATGTGAAATTTTGTTTTATATATGAGACTTTCATTCATAAGACAGGGATTTTGTCCACTTTCAGGATGAGAGGCTAGGATCTTGTCCACTGAGAATTCGTCTGGTTACCAGAATTTTCATAGAAGCTGGGTTGTTCATACATGGAAGGACCATTCTCTTCTTTTCTTTCTTTCTTTCTTTTTTTTTTGTTTTTGTAATCAAACAAATTTGATTGAAAAACAAAAACTAATAGAAATCCTACAAGAGAAAAATAAATAAATAAAACAACTAATAAAGAAAATATATTTTTAATCATTCTACTCCAAGCAAGGTTTTAATGCCACTAAGACACAAGGAGTTACTGGTGAAAGAAAATGAGAAGACTTCAGGAGAAGGAAAAGGAAATTCATTTCTAAACAGGAAAAAAGGGATAAACCTCTACTCCTGTTCAAAAGACGGAGAAGTGTGAACTGGAAAGTAAATAAATAAAATCCATTGTAATGTCTTAGGAAATTAAAACATTTCTTTGGCTTAGTTTTTATACAAAAATTCATTCAATACAAGTCACGAGAACCAGTCAAGGTAGAGGGTTACTGTTAAAACTCTAATGAATGAAATGTGTGATATGAATGAAAGATAAAGTGGTAGGAAGTGAAGATTATGCAGATAAGGAAGATAGATATGGATTGGCCCTTGACCTGAAGAAGTCAAGTGTGGTGTGATGTGATGTGTTTATGGAAGTATCCACGCAAGACAGAGTTCTGCAGTTCTTGGGAAAAAGCTGACTAGAACTTTCTTCTTACATTTGCAATAAGGAGGGAACAAGGTTGATTGACCTCCTCCATGGAAGTAGCTTGACATGTCCTAGGTGCAAAGCTCTCAACTTGCAGACCTAAACAATGAAGCTCATTTGTTATGGAAATTCAATGAAGTTACACCAGATTTACAAAGTTACATCTAGTTTAAGTTTTGGTATAATAAGTCAACAGCAACTGAACATTAACAGCTGAGAAAACAAATTTGCTCACCACATGATATTTTGTTACAACTCAACAGTATTCAAATTGTTATGGTGAAACACCCCTATTCTATAGTTAATAGACTCTCCCACCTAATATAAGTAGGAGTAGTAAGAGAAACGAGGGTCAGTCGATGTCAGACGACAGTAAGTCGAATACGAAAGTAGTCAGTGACCATAACAAGATTACTCTGCGTAATGCCTATTATATCAAGTTCCTAACATTTTGTATGTCGAACCTATTTAGGACCGATTTAGTACAAATACAAGCCTCCACTGTGAAATAACTCCACAACACAAATTTGACTCAAATGTCTTTCTTTTCTATTTATTAGACTCTAATAGGCGTAAAAAAATTAATCTGTTTAAGCAGCTTGAGTACTAATTTTTGTACAAAAGAATTAAGCAAACCAAATATTAGTCAAAATCCTAAACTACTTATAAAATATAAATCATGTTTCAAAAAAACAAACAACAATGAAATATTGATTATCTGAACATTATTCGAAAAACATTCAAATTGTAAATTGCTTGAATGAAAATTAATTGAAAGGACAATTATACTAAATGATAATTATTCAAAATGAAAAATTATTTATTGCAATAAAATGTAAAAATTAAATGAGGAAATACACAAGTGATAATTATTCGAAATACAAATATCGTTAATAAAACAATTTGGTAAGAAAAAAATCCTTATAACCTTAAGTTATATGATACTACACACAAACAGTCAACTACTGAAGAGTACTCGTTAAAGGATGCCACTAATTTTTTTAAGTTTTTCATTTACGTCACAGTATTTTTTGGTGCTCTTGATATTTTGGCAACCTGCTTTTACTTTTGCAATATGAATTTCTTGCAAGTCCTGTTCTCTTTTAAGAGCGTCTAAGAATTTCCATATTTTGTGCGATGATGGGATGATCCTTGTTGCAAAGAAGCCCTATGCCATCTTTCAAGGACGTTATTAGTTCTTTGTAAATCAGTATTGATTCTTTCAAAGCAAGGCCACATACGTATTTCAAACATAGGTATTTCGAATAATTATCATTCGGCATAATTGTCATTGCAATTAATTTGTAATCAAACAAGTTACAGTTGGAATAAATGTTTTTCAAATTGTCTTCAAACAATTTTCTCAACATGGAAATATCTAGTAAAAAGAAAAGAAATATAAATCCTTGTAAGAAAAAAATGGCAAATCACATTTGAAGACAAATCGGGAACAACTTCAGAAACATACGTTTTATTCAGTAAAATAAATGTATGATGATCTTTGTCATTACTACCAATGAATATAGTAACCACTGTTTGGTAATAGTTACAGTGTTAGTTTGGTTGTTTAATGGCATATCAACTCCTTATAGATCATTTTAATACTGGAATTTTTTTTTACTATGAAAATGTACTACTGGTATTTTTTAATATAAAAATGTATTGTTATATTTTCATAATGTTTTGACCCACAGTTTGGGGGCTCACTATTTACCCATAACTGAGACCCTAACAGGTACTGCCACCCCAGGTCAGGGTGAACCTGGGAACATCAGCAATTAAGAAGTGGTTTCATGCTTCTCAAAAGTTCCCAATTAGAGGCCTTGCTGCCAGATGTAGTTTGTCATCATACCCAGAACGAAAGGGTTACGGAAAGTACAGTCTCTTTCTATTTCCCCATAATTTACCAGTTCCTTTAGACAAGATGAAAGTGATAATGCCAGTTCTTATTTCTCTTTTTATGACTGCAGATGTAACATATTTTAAATTTGCATTGTACTTGTACATAAAAAACTTGCTATTGATATGTATTTTCTTGTTTAGGTTCAACACTTACTGAGTCTTAAATTACATAAACATAACAATTGATAATTTGCCTTGTCCCATGTTATTAATGAGAACAATTAAAATGCATGAAACAAGTTTTAAGATACACACATATTCAAAGAGTAGTTTGGTTCACCTATAGCCTGGCTCATACTCCTTCCAATATTTTTTGAACAGGAGTAGAGATTTATCCCTAGTTTCCCCTTTCGGATTGGGTTTTCAGTTACTTCCAAAGTTTTCTCATTCTCTTTCATTCTCCCCTCTGCTTTCATGGCATTATCATCTTGCTTAGGGGTGAATTGATAAAAAAAACCCAAAACATCTTAGCACAAAAATTAATTTATCCACAAAACCAATCACAATTTAAGAGTTCATTTAACACAATATTTCCCACATAAATGGGTTTTGGCAGTTCTATTGCATTACCAGATAAGTTAATTATATTCTATGTAGTGGACTTTTGTGGTAAGATTAAAAAAGTGTCACACACAGAAATATATACAAAGCGTGCTAAAAAGGTCTCAGCCTCACCAAAAAACTCTTTTGGGAAATGGTTTTGGTTGAGAACTTTTCAGTACCCTCTCATATATATATATATATATATATATATATATATAGAGAGAGAGAGAGAGACCTCAACTACCAACCTGTTTTATTGCTCCTTTACTCCTTTGATCTTTTCAAGTGGGTGAAGCTTCTATTATTTATATTTTTAGCGCGATGCATAGCTTAGGTAGGGTGGCAAATATTGATTTTTCTTTATTCCATTAAAAAGTCTGAAGTTTTTTTTATACTACTCTTCACCCAATACAAGACCCAAGAGCCACTCAGGGTAGAGGATTACTGAAAGAGGTTCTTATAAGGGTGTAATAAAGGCAAGACATAAGAAGTGTATATTATGATATGGTGGATGGATAAGCATCATTTCAGGAGTCTGTTCCATGATGTAACAGTTCTGGGGAAGAAACTGCCAAAATGAAACTTCCCCCTTATCAATGTAATATAATGGGAATGGGGATGGTTCAGCCCTGTGTACGTGGTATGATAGGTCATGGCTGTGAAAGTCTGAACTTTCCTTAAATTCCAGTATAAATTTTAGGGACCCACACATGAAATTGGTATTTCCGTAATTTCTTTTCCTTTACAAATTGTTGGACTCTAAGAGAAAGATGTTTTCTCTTTCGCAGGTTCCCAATCAGATAAGGAAGGAGCTTAAAAGGGGAAAAAACAAAATCACAGAAGTGGACAAATCAAGTGTTAGAATGTTTTCCCTGACAAAAAAGAACAGAACCAATCAAACCACAAAAAAATAATATTCTTCATTGAGTGTTTCAAATCACTTTTCTCTCCTTTCCTATTCGCCTTGCCCTCTTTCCTTCTCCTTTGCCCTTTTTTTCTTCCGTTCCCTAAAAAAGTGTCTCTCCAACCCCTTGACTCTTCATGTCATCATAGCCCGACCCAACCGGAGCAATACAGGAGGTCCAAAACATTTGGCAGATGTGTGGAGCCACAGCGTTCGAAGACAACGATTAATTTGTCAAGTTAGCACAACAGGATAACAAAGTGTCTAAAGCATTGGTTCTAACTTTCTCCTGGGTGGGAGATGGTTACAATTTAGGCGTGACAGAAAGGAAAACGTAAAGAAAAAGAAGCGACACAAAGACATCTGCAAGTGGCATACCCCCAGGCTCCCTCATTCTGACCCTGTTACTTAATACCTTTTTTATTGTCTTTGTGCAGTCTCCTTCTTCTATGTGCGATTGCCTTCTCTTTTTCTAGCTTTTTTATAATTTTCTCTTTTCCTCCTTCATTTCTTTTTCCTTACTTCTGTGGCTTCTCCACATCTATCTTGCTAAAGTCAGTAAGATTCTTCCATCTTTCTTTCTTTCTTTCTTTCTTGCATTTTTAGTCTTTTTTTTTTTTACTCGATCATTCCTTTTCAAGTCAATTCTTTCTTTTTATTTGTTTTTTCTTCTTCTTTCTTTCTATTTTAGTCTTTTTTACTTGGTCCTTTCTTTTTAAGCCAATCCTTCTTTTTTCTTGTTTTTTTCTTGTCTTTCTTGCATTTTTAGTCTTTTTTTTTACTCAATCATTCCTTTTCAAGTCAATTCTTTCTTTTTAGTCAGTTTTTCCTCTTCTCTCTTTCTTTTTTTAATCTTTTTTTCTTCAGTCCTTTTTTCAAGTCAATCCTTTCTTTTTACTTTGTTCTTTTTTCTTCTTCCTTTCATTTTTTAGACTTTTTATTTGGTCCTTCCTTTTTAAGGTATTTCTTTCTTTTTACTTGGTTCTTTTTCCATTCTTTCTTTATCCTTTAGTCTTCAATCCTTCCTTTTCACTTGGTACATTTTTCCTATTCCTTTGTTCTTTCTTTCTTTGTTTTTTTTTTATTTTTGTAGTCATTTTTATTCCATCCTTCCTTTTTTTTTTTAAAGTCAATTCTTTCTTTTTACTTGGTTCTTTTCCCCTTTTTTTTTTCCTTGTTTCTTATTTTTAGTCTTCTTTTACTCAATACTTCTGTTTTAACCAAAACTTTTCATTTTACTTAATTCTTTCTTACATTTTGTCTTGTTTACTTGGTCCTTTCTTTCTCCTTTCCTTCTTTTTTTTGTTGGTCATTTCATTCATTCATTCATTCATTCATTCATTCTTTCTTTCTTTCTTTCTTTCTTTCTTTCTTTCTTTCTTTACTTGGCTCATGCATCTGTCATTTATATGCATTGCAGTTTTTTTTGTTTTTTCTTTAAGACTTTTCTTTTTTAATAACTTTCTTTCTCTTTCCCAAATTGCTTTTGTTGTTCTTTTTTATCATCAACATCATCTCTTTCCATCTTGATTTTTCTTTTCTTTTCCCAAGATTCTCCCTCACTACATATATAAAGTTTGTTTCTTTCTTTCTGTTCCTTTTTTGTAAAATAATCAACTGAGCTATACACAACATGTAAAAACTCTTGATAAACATACTGGACAATAGCATCCGAAATATTTTGTAATTTCAAAATATAAACTGATTCTTCTCCTCTATATAATAATAATAATAATAATAATAAATATACATTTTTTTTTCCTTGCTGGGAGCACAACTTTGAATTTCATACACAACACAATCATCAGGTGCTGACTGAGTTTTCAAATAAAAAAAAACGATTGCGTTATGCATGAAACTCAGATGTGCTACTGGTAAGGAAAAAAAATGTATATTTATTATTAGAATAAATTATAACTCTACATCAAGCACTAATTTATTAGCACCAGAACTCAATGTTCAATATATCTCATATATGATTCCATTGCTACATAAGAGTTCTCATGTTTCAAAAACAGAAGCTAAAAACTTCAATTTAATTATAGAAATTAAATTAAACTAAAGTACCTACTTCTGTTTCATCCTCCTTGGAAGAACAAATTTTGAAATTTATGAAGCTTTATAAGCATATACTTTCGTAATATTAATTTCTATGGAAACAGTGAAAACCAATCATTAAAAAAATAATTATAATATCAGCTCTACATATGTATTGAGCACTGTTTTTTAAAAATAAAACAAAAATACTCAAGAACTTTGGATTATTAACCTAACAGTTCTTCCCTATTTCTCTCTCTATTATATATATATATATATATATATATATATGTTTACACATTTTAATGATTGTATATGTTGGTTATACAACCACCACCTTTTCCTGAAGAGTAATTTTACATCAAAACACAATTCGTGCTTATTTATATTTATTATGATGGTGAATGTAGATTGTTGGGTATGGGTATTTTTCCATAACACTAAAATACATCAACTTGATACATGTATACTACGAGTGGATTGCCAAAATGTTCTGGGCCTGACCAAGAAGTTGTTCCAAAAACAAAATCTGATGTTTGGGATTTTGGTCAGATCTTGAGAAGTGGGTCAATCTGAGAACTTCCAGATAATACTTGTTAACTATTAAAAAACAACAAAGAGTAAACTAAATAAAATCTTCTCCAATCAAAGTACTGGAATGTTGTATACATTTAACACGTGATTGATACATTTCACACAGAAAAATGAATATCACTTGTGTTGCTTCATACTTAGTATAATGCAGGATTGTAAATTTGAATAAATAAAAAAAAAAGAAAAAAAAAGAAGACCTATGATTATTTTTTTTATTTCTGCCAACCCCATGAAACTGATGAAAGCAAGCATTAGAATCTATAACATCTCACCATAAAATGATTACATACAAATGTGGTAATATGACAAAATAGCTATTTAATAAGATTAAAAAAACAATCTTTTTAAAGTATTTTTATCATATCTTATGCAAGAATATTAAGATTTTTGAATCCAACAGGTATTATTCAATAATTTTCAATTTAAAATGTTTTAAGTTCACAAATAAACCAATTTAAACCCCTTTTCTTTATTTCCACTCATCTTTCCTCTGTTATGCTCACATTTTTCTTATAATCAATGAGCATTTTCTATTGAGACAACATTTCACTTGCTTCAACAGTTAAAGTATTGTAAATAAATAATAATAATACATGTTTTGATTTGGGGGATTTAAGGTGAGCAAAAGTAAATATCTCTTTCCATGTCATAGATTTACTTCTAAGTTGTCTGACCATAACCATTTGAGCATATCCTTTTGCGAGTGACACATAATATTTAAATATTATGAAATTTCCAAAAATTCGTTTTTGTATAGGTTAAAGTCTATATAATTAATATAAACATTAACCCATACAAAAATGAATTTCTCAAAATTTCATAATATTTTAATAAATGTAAAAAATATTTTATCAAGATTTTCTAAAAAAAAAAAACATTTCTAAAATAATTTAATTAATCTTAATAAGCACATGTCTTGGAGAATGTAAATCATCAATTTTCTTTTTGTAAAACAGGGCCCCCTGGTTATAAAAAATCTGCTTCAAATCGTAAAATAAAAAATGTAATAAAACTAAGACATTATTTAATTAGAAGAAGCTTTTAATTGCGTTTATGAACAAGATATATTCTGAAGACTATTGTGTTAAGAAAAACTTCTTTCAATGAATAATGAATTTTTGCAAGAATTGTTTTCATTTTTTTAAAAATTTAATTAGAATAATTATAAAGTCTTAAATCTTTGGAAATTCTGTATTAATTTGTAATGGTTAGGTAATATTGCTATTAAGTAAAAACTATATTTACTTATCATAAATGGAAATGCTTAAAAAAACTTAGCGGCCACCAGTGTTTAAAAAAATTTTATTTTTTTATGTGTATGAATGTACTGACTTTTGTAAATACGGAGGTTCATACACAATGTTATCAAAAAATAAGAGCTGTAACTATAGTAAATTTAAAACCAAAGTATCTAAAATTCAATAAAACATTGGATTATGGATAATATTTCCCTAAATTTTTAAGACTACTGGATAATTAAAAGTAATATCAAAAATGTGCTCACAGACGTTGAGAAAAAGGAGAAAAGGCAAAAATTAAGTAATTTTTACAGATATGTCCACCATAGTAAAAAAAAATAGATAAACTTTCAGCTGTCAATAGCACTGTCAACAATTAATCAAAACATACTTATCTGTTTTAAAAATGCATTTCTGCAATATTTTAAACTAAAAGTAATATTTGTTTCCAATCATATTAATTAAACTTTGAATCAGCTAATATTCCTTAAATAAAGTTTCAGAAAAGTATATCTTATTTTTATATTGCACTAACAGATGGCTAAAAAAACACTTCCAGTCAATTTACATTTGTTTTAAAAGACAACAAAGTATTTTGCTTATTGGAAATATTAAATTTAATCTATTAGCTTGAAATTAAAGATTTTTTTAAATTAATTTTAAACCTTACGAATTGTATTTCTTTAGACGTACCATATATATATATATATATATATATATGTGTGTGTGTGGGGGGGAATTGAATGACAAAACAGAAAAGTTTACTTGTGATGCATTTTGTCCTTCAAGACTTCATCGAACTATATTTGTTATATTGGTATGACTACACATGCCTATGAACAAGGGGTGCTGGGGATTTTAGAATTTTTTCTTTTTGCACAGGTGGAATTGGACCAACATAACAAATTTAGAATGATGAAGTACTGAAAGACAAAACTCATCACAAATAAACTTTTTCCTCTTTGTCATACAATTTCCCCAATATTGTTCTTGATATGTAAAAATATATATCATTATCTCATTTTACTGTTGACTTGTTAATTGAGAATGACTATTTCTAACACATAAAATTTATGCATGTAAGAAATAATCATTCAAAATTTAGGCTTTGTGAACTTGCACAATATTGCAAAAAGGTTACCTCCAACAAAACCAAGTTTAATCATCAATGATCCAATGATACAGCAGGTTGTACCGAGTCTCATGTTACCAGTACCACAAGAATACTGAGGAAATTATTTAAGATTTTCTGTCATCCAATTTCTAGGAACAACCACTCATGGTGTAGACTGTAGATATAAAAGTATACAATTATAATCGTAACAGTCCTAATGAGGGTCAAGGATAACTTACTGCAATATTGTCCCAGTTATACTTTTATTCTTTTTTTTTTTAAAAAAAACTTCTCTCTTAGTACATGCGTATTATGCTTGAACTGATTGAAAATTTGAGGTTTATGCTGTTTTCATTAAATTTATTCAAACAGCAGCCAATCGAGTTCAGAATATTTTTTTATTGTCGCTTTCTGTCAGGAAGAGAGGTCATTAGGTTGCCCCCAGTCACTTTCTGCAATAACAAAAATAAGATAATTCCAAAGAAAGAACCACCCATAGCATGTATGGTTGGTGCTAAACAAATTTACAACAACTTACTTCTTTTTTGCCTTTTCTCCTTTTTCTCAACGTCCGACCCCAACCGCCTCTAGACTCCGACAGACACCCTCAAAGAACAAAAGTGAGAGAAACAAGCATGCAGAGAAATATTCTATTATCATTCTAATCATCTTTTTAGCGGAAATAACCATGTCGGCTGCAGTGTAATAGATTTGGTCGTCAGTGTTTCGAATGATAAATTATACATGGCGTTCAGTGTTTGATCTCCTGTCCCGACATGAAGCAACACCAATTTCGGATATTGTCAAATGAACCCATTGTTTCATGTTTATGAATTGTTACTAGCAATTATAAGGACGTCGTCAGCACCAGTCAATGTGAAGATCATGGCCAATGTCAAAATAATAACCGCTAGACTGCTATGTGTGCCCGCTCGTTCAATTGTTCGTTGTTATTGCTAGTTTTTGGCAGACGATAATGGCTTTAAAAACGCAGGAGTTTGCAGATGTGATATTATTAGGCTCATGTAGCACCATCTCAATGTGACTGAGAGAGTCGATGACAATTAGGTTCTATCTGAATAGCCCAGTGGTAATCTCCCTTCTACAGTCTCTCTCTCTCTCTCTCTCTCTCTCTCTCTCGTTCGGTATTTCTCCTAACCCTGTTCTTCTTAATGAGTGTTACATTATTTTTTTCTCAGACTGATTTCTTTCGAAATAATACTTCCTTTTTTGTTTCTCTTGCAGTTTCTCTTTCAAGGTATAGACACACGACATATTTCTCTTTGTCAATACATTTTTACTTACTCTTTTATTTCTATGACCAGCCGCCACCCTTTTAAAGATGCCCATTATTATTATTTTAATTTTCTCATAACAGTCCCCTTTCAGTTTTCTAATCTGTTCTAATTTATCCCTCACTCTTTACAACTGTCATAATTTGTTGATATATATACAGGGTGTCCATAAAGTTCATGTGCACTTTAAAAAATTTGTAACTTTATTTGTATTTGTGATAGAAATAATCTGTAAAAAATGTTATAAAGTTTAATGTACCTAGTTTTAAGTATAGCTAAAATAACAAATGTGATTTCAGACATTATTGTAAATCAGTTGGCAAATGTTTTCTGTGAACTGCAAAATCATATTACCCTTTATATCGCTAATGATGGAGGATATATGGAAACTTAAATAAAATTTCAATAAAACCTTAAAAAATTTAGGTTTACTTCTTTCTAATCCTTTTTACAAATTATTTCTATTGCAAATACAAATGAAGTTATAAATTTTTTAAAGTGCACACTAACTTTATGGACACCATGTATATACATATTTGTTTTATCCTGTCTTTTGTATAACTTTCTTGATAAATTCTTTCCTTGTGATTTCATCTCTTTCTTCATAGAAAGAAATTTCATTAGGGCTCTGTTTTTTTTTTTTTTCTTCTTCTTTTTATTCTTGAACAGTTTTTCTCTCATTATCACATTTTTGATACATTATTTTCTATATCCTTCTAGAACAGCATCTTCTCTCCTAGGAGGCAAATTTTTTTTTTTTTTTTTTGGGGGGGTAAAAGTATGATAGATTCTGTGAAAGACTTTTCATTTGTTGTGCAAAATTTCCATGTGCTGTGCACCTTCAGGATGTAGGCGATCATGGCTCTCCTCAACTCCTTGTTCTTTGTAGCTCTTTGCAGCGTTTTTTTTTTTCTTTTTGCTACCTCCCTGAAAAAATTATTACTCAGAAATTCCTTACAAACTATTTTACCAGTCTCCACAAAATAACCCCCCACCACTTCGTTCATCATGCCAAACCATATTCTTTCCTTGTCTTTTTCCTTTCTGTTCCCTCATCAAACTATTCTCCTTCTCTTCATCACGTACCTCTCAATTTCTCTTTATAACATATTCTTTACCTTTATCCCCCCCACCACTCCACCTACATGTATATCATATATCTTCCTGTATTCATTTCTTCCCCCTCACACACACACACTTGCATCCTTTCTCTTCCCAGATTATCTTCTCTGACACTTACACCCTTTCTCTTTATCCCACAAAAAGTCCTTCAAACTGTTTTTAAGGAAAAAGTTTGTTCCAATTTATGCAAGTTGTAATTGAAAAAAAATCACTGTTCCATAATTTATATCTATCTCCAAAATTGTTAATACAGTATTCATTCGCAAAAAAATAAATACATAAATAAAACTAAAAAATGTTTTAAATAACTCACAAAGAGGTGATATGCCGTAAAACAAATCAATCAATTAATCTCTTTCTTTTCCATTTCTCTCTTTCTTATCTTTTCATTCCTATTCTCAGATGGATTTTCTCATTATATCAAACTTTTCTCCCATTTGACCACACCTTTTTTTCCCCTCATCTCACTTGGCTTTTTCTATCCTTGTCTTTTTCTATATTTCCATCATTCTCTTGGCCACATTTCTTTCTTTTTTCTCAAAATCATTCATGTTATCTGTTTCTTCATTCACTTCCAATTCTTTTCACAGAAAATAATAAAAGAAACAAGGATTCACCATTTTTTCTTCATCTTTACTTATTCTATTAATTGTTTCTTTTTCTTTTCAGTTCTTTATCCTTTCTCCAGACCATAACACTTCACTCTCCAAACCCTTTCCCAAAGGTGCATCCTTCATTTCCCCTAAACATACCAAAATAATAGCGCCTACCAACATCTGATCTCTATTGTTAACATGAATAGGGGAGTGAGAAATTATTGGCTGTTGATGGAAGATCAAATATACTGAAGGGCAATCTATGTTAGAGTTGAGGTAAGCTTAAAAATCACATCATCCTCTCTGCTTTGCCAACAACAGAAAAAATTGCTTTGCTTGAAAAAAACAAAAAAAAGTAAAGACTGCATTTAAAAACAGGAAATCAGACACAAGATCTAGACTTTGCGTTTCAACCAATGTTTGTTATTAGTCACCAATAATTAGAATTATATATTAGATTTCTGATTACCTTGCAATGCCGTCTTGGGTAAGATGTTAAACTACATCCAGCAGCAAGGCCTCTGATCAGGAGGTTTTGAGGAGCATGGAACCATGTCTTAATTGCTGGTGTTCCCAGGTCCACCTGACCCAGGGTGGTAGCACCTGTTAGGGTCCTAGCTATGGGCAAATAGTTAACTATTACCAGCAATACGTTTTTGAAAAAAATTATAACCAACAATACAATTTTGAAGGAAATATATTACCAGAAACAGATTTTTGACAAAACAAAATATTACCAGCAATAAAAAATTTTGTCAGCATTAAATAACCCATTGAGGTCGATATACCATAAAACAAAATAAACCCAACCAATCTAAAGCAAACAATACATATTCTATTCATACGAATCTATCCTAAAAACGTTGTCGGCATTAAATAACCGATTGAGGTTGATATGCCATTAAACAAACCAAACCAAATCTTGCAATGCCTTATAACTAATTAAAGATTGGAAAATAAAGATCAAGTAGAAGTAAATGCTGACAAAGAAATCTGTGCTGGAAACCAATTAGATAGAGAGGAAAGGAGATAAGACACTAGAAAGAGAGAAAGATAGAGGTAAATAGAAAGAAAAAATAAGGAGATAGGAAGAGAGACAGGTTGATAGAAAGATAGGAAGAGAGAAAGAAGTAGGTAGGAAGATAAAGAATAGAGAAAGAGGGAAAGAGATAGGATGGCAGAAAGGGAGAGAAAAAATATGAAGGAAGACAGAAAGAGAAAAAAGGAGGTAAAAAGAAAGAGAGCAAGGGAGACAGGTTGATAGAAAGGGACAAAGAGAGAAAAGGAGATAGGAAGAGAGAAAGAGGGAGGCAGGAAGACAAGAGAGGGAGATAGAGAAGTAGGGAGACAAAAATGGAGAGAGGAAGTAGGAAGACAGAAAAGAAGGGAGTTAGGAAAACAAAAAAGGAAGGAGGGAGATAGGAAAAACTAAATGAAGGGAGGGAACATAAAAGCAAAAAGGTAAGGGACAAAGATAGTGAGAGAGGGGAAGGAGATAAGACGACAGAAAGGGAGAGAGAGAAAAGATGGAGGAAGATAGAAAAGGAGGTAGACAGGAAGAGAGAGAGCAAGAGAGACAGGTAGTTAGAAAGGGATAGAGGGAGAAAAGGAGATAGGAAGAAAGTAAGAGGGAGGCAGGAAGATAAGGAATGGAGAGAGAGATGGCAGGAAGTAGGGAGACAGAAAGGGAGTGAGGAATAGGAAGACAGAAAAAAGAAAGTAGTTAGGGAAACAAGAGGGGGATAGGAAAAACGAAAGTGAAGGAGGGAAACAAAAAAGGAAATAGGAAAGGGCAAAGATAGGATGACAGGGAAGGAGATAGACAGAAAGAGAAGACGAAAGGTAGGGAAATAGAAAGTGAAATAGCAAGGGAGAATGATGGGGAAAGAGACAAATAAAAAGATAAAAAGGGATGGGGAAGGGCAATTCAGAATGAGATAGTGAGGGATTTAGAGAAGGGGTCAAAGAAGGAAGTAGTGAGGGTGCGAAAGACAAAGAAAACAAATTTGGAGCAGGGGAAAAGTTTACGTTATTTTGTTCTAAAATTGACTAAATATATTAACCTTTGTCACTTTCTATACGGCTTCATTTGCTGTGCAAAAAGTTTATTCTGCCACTGAAGGTGACACTGATTCATGAATTTAAATTTCATAGTTGTGTTGTCATATCCTGCTTTGGCAACAGAAAACAACTTTGAGTGAAATTAACAATAAGATTACTGCAATTGAGAAGCCTTGAAAAAGAATGCAGTGGAAAAAGAAGTAATATTATAATAATGTACAGTGGACTAAGAAAAGTTTTTATCCAGGAGAAATAAACTACATCCAATTTCAAAATTTAATTACATAATTTCAACTCAGCATAAATAAACAGTATTTGGAACTAGTATAGAGTAGGTCCTCCATTTGCTAGTTTCAGTGCTTGTATTTGATTTTTCATGGATTTGATCAAGTTATCAACAATCATCTGACCTATATTTTACCACCCCTTCAACAATGTTTCTTTAAGGGTTGCCACTGATGTGATTTTGGTTGCATGTTCTCAAGGTTTTCAGTCAAGGTGCTCTCAAATATGCTCTATTGGATTCATGTCAGAATTTGGGGCTACTCATGGCAGTGACTTGATTCCTTGTGATTCCTTCCAGGCCTTTAATACTTTGCTCGTATGACAGGGTGCTCCATCTTCATGAAAAAGGTAGACATTCTAGTCAATCTGTTTGGTTTCAAATAGTGAGAGTAGTCCTTTTGCTAATATTTGACAGTATTTTGGACCATTCAACCGATCGTCAACATGAATCAGCTCAGATTGCCCTCCAAACAAGACAGTGCCCCACACCATTACTCCAATCCCTCCATGTTTCACAGTTGCCTACAGACATTCAGTGTTCCAATCTCATTCTTATTTTTCCAAACATAAACCTATCTCGAATTTGAATATTGGCAGAATTTACTTTCATCTGACCAAATTACAGACTGCCAAAATCCATAATCTTTGCTATAAAATTCTCTTGCCCAGTCCATACATCTGCTCTTGTTAACTTCTGAAATCAAGGGCTTCTTTCTTGCAACTCTTCTTTGATAGCCTAGCTCTTGCAGAGTCTTTCTCACCGCATATAGCAATATTTCCATGCTTTTGGCAACATCTTTGATACTCTGACGACAGTTTCTGATAACTTCCCTCTTCAGCACCCTTTTCGCTCATTCAGACACGATGATTGGTCTTCCAGAACATTGTTTCACACGACAATGCCCTTCTTCATTAAATTTCTTAACAATATTATTAACTGTTCAATGATTAACCTAGAAAAACCTAGCAATTTCTCTATTTGACTTGTCACACTGATTCCATCCTATTATTGGCCCTCATTGAAATTCACCAATTTCCTTACTTCTGCAAACTTTCATTGCAAAATTTAAGTCAACTACCATTCATAGATGAGAGTAGCTTGATACTAACAAGGTAATGTCTGAAAAAAAAAAGAAGAGACTTTATTACACAAGCCAAAATTGCTGTAATTAAGGGTGGCTAAAAACTTATCATAGCCCACTGTACTAAGTCTAATTTTTTTTGAATATCTGTAGGTTACTTTTAAGTAGTTGACACAGTGCGTTGTTGACCATTCCCCTTTTGATACATAAATACTAAAAATAATAATACAAAAATGTAATTTAAACTGTGAGGGAGCAAATTCAAAGATATTCTTTTTTCTATAATAATTTTATAGTATCATTCCGAAAAAAAAAAAAAAAAAATATTTCTGGAAACTATAGAGAAGCATAAAAATATTTTCAGAAATAATCAGCATATTTATTTTTAAGTTTCACTGATTAATTTTATCTTTTTAAATTTCTAGTCTTTCAGAAATCGAAAATGAAATTAGAATTTTTTTTTCACAATTATGACAGTTATCTTGATTCTATTTTTATTTAACTTTTACTTTATTCAAATCCAAGATTAAAATTTACTCGTCCCTTGTCAAAATTCAAAATCATAATTGTTACAATTCCCTCGGACAAACACAAAAATAATAAAAAGAAATCTTTCATTTATTTATGTTTTTTTTTTTTTATTTATTCAAATCAAACAGAGAGAAAAAATTTTGAAAGGGAAGAAAAAGGCAAATGAACGCTTGTTTTATTTTCATTTTTCTCCTTTTGTCTTCCAGGATAGGAAAATAATAAGCAATCAACAAACAAGGGGACATGCTGCCCAGATGACCATTTGGAATTAATATTGATTATGTGAAGGGAATTGTCCTCTGGTCTCCTTTGGAACAACCATGACTAAGCAAAGGAAAACAAAATGGTAACCATTAAGAAAATAGGTGATGTAAGATTTGACAAATGTCCAGCATTTTTGGCAATAATTGCAGCAACAATCATGATTGTATCAGAAGCAAAAATAATAACAAATATTAATGAAAAAGTAAACGACAACTCGTATCATTTCACATGTACCAATGATCTCAAATTTGGCTGGGATAGAGATTTCACCTAATGAAATCAGTTACAAAGATGGATGATAAAGATAACAAGACTGACAATGGTTACAGCAGCAATAACGAAAGAGAAAAAAAGAAAACTGTGTCATAATTATATTATAAAACTAATTACTGATGACTCAGAGGTCATAACAATAGACTAAATTGGTAAAATCATAAAGAAAAAAATTAGTGAATGCCTGGTATGTGAGCTTAAAGGGAATGCCAACATATATTTGATTGGGTAGAAACTGTAACAGAGGAAGAACTGTGCAAATGATTTGATTATATACAAGAATTTTTGAGATGAGGAATTATGATTATAAATTTTGCTATTTTGATCAGTATTCTGGAATTTTGAAAAAAAAACCTTTATTCAATCCATGGGTGCATATCGTTCTTGTTCTGCTTTCTATGCTTAGGGGTGATAAGTCACATCAATTATATCTTTGTGTAGCTTGTTCATTTTTTTCACTATACCAAGTATGTGATTTTGGAGCATTAGCACACCCAGGGATTGAACTTGCAAATTCCAGATCAATATAAAATTTTAATCAATATATTTTTTAACTGACCTCAGTTCACAATCCCGTATTGCAATTAATTGTGGACTTCATAATCTTTTCCCTATAATATGTGCCTTACCAGGATCATATAAACAATTTGAATTCACAGTTGGATTTCTCCTAAACAGGTTACCAACC